TGGAAACTAAATATTCAAAAGGCTAAAAGCAAAAGACTGATTAAAAAAATTAAATTTGCTAAAGTRTAGCCAAACAATCACAATAGTTAAAGGCTAAAAGTATTCCTACAAGCTAGAAGTAGCAGAATAGTAGCCAAAAATCAAAAGTAGCTGAATAAAAACAGAAAACATATTTCAAGACTAATTAAARCTAAAAGTAGCACAAGTCTTATTAACAGCCAAATACAGCAAAATAAAGGATTTTAGCAAAAATGTATACGCAGGCTAAACAAACAGTAGCTACATGCTAAAATTAGCAGAATAGTAGCCAAAAATTAAAAATACACAGCGAAAATGAAGCATATTTTCAGAAAGATCATCAGTTTTGAAATAATAAACGATATAAATAAATGATATAAATAAAGTCAGTAGTTTACCAGCTGACTGAGAAGAACTGTTTTCATGTTTGAACAACAAAAACAGAACAAAGTGTGCACAAAAACATAAAAACTGTGTGAATAAATAAGAATTTTAAGGCTTAATACAGTTTCAGATAAGTCGTTTTATAGCTCATGCTGATATAATCAGTTAGCAAATAAATAGTTTTATATTTCAACTGTAGGGTCGGATAATAAAAATAAAAAAGCTTTTCCTTGTCATGAAGCTTGAAAAAGGCTGAAGCTGATTGTTTCTGAGGTTGTGTGTCTCCCTCTCCTGGTTTCACCAACAATTCACCTCAATCTTTTTATATAAAACATGCAGACTTTAGAGTTAAAACCTGTCCTGGTTTCTTTCTTTATCAAACCAGAATTTTATTGTATTTCAGGAGATATTTTGCTAACAATCAGGATAAGTTAAGCTTAATGAAAGTATATGTATAAAGTATATGTGACACAATCATATCGAAATGAGGATTAAATCAAATTAGGTCAAAATGACCTCATTACATTTTCAGATTCCTGTTTTAAAAGTTATGTTTTGATACCTGGATCATCCTGAAATCATCAGCTTATCAAGAGATATGACTTCATTTGTCTTGTTGGTTACAATAATACATTACTGTTTAGTCTGAATCCTAATTTTACATCCATTTATTGAATCATTTTTGATGTTAATATAAAGAGTAAACCTCAAATAGTATTTGAGTATTACGATTTCCCAGTTGGAAAGAAACAAAAAC